GGCATTTTAGGCATTCTTTGATCCTCTGAACCAGAAAGATGGTGGCAATGCATTTATCTGGTGTGGCAAACACAATAAATACAATACAAGTTACTTGTCATTATAGGTCAGCAACTATCTCCTAAGCACCTTTGGTGTACTTGGCTCACTGCAAGAAGGACATAGAAGATAATAGCTGATATGTTCTCCAAGCCTCAGATTCAGAGTGAGCCCACTCTGATTACTTCCTGTTGACAGCAATTCTGCCCTAAGTGGGCTTGAAGGTTGTTCTCTGCTCTAATCTGATCTCCAAAGCCAAATCCTAACCCTCCCTTCCTTCTTCCCTTCATTGAATTTTCCTAGATAAGTTATGTTCATCAGCTCAAATGCATCACCTTATGCATTTTTAAAGACTTTGAACTTTATGGTAACAATGGACATTTAACTCACTCAGAATTTGATCAGGTAGCTTTCATAGAGAGATAGACTCCTGCCTTATTGATTTGAAAGAAAGAGGAAGAGAGAAGAGAAGAGAAGAGAAGAGAAGAGAAGAGAAGAGAAGAGAAGAGAAGAGAAGAGAAGAGAAGAGAAGACATTGATCTTTTGCCTCCCATACAAACCCCAATTGAATATGTGCCCACAACCTAGGTATGTGCCCTGACCGGGAATCGAACCCACAACGTTCCGATGCATGGGGCAATGCTCCAACCAACTGAGCCACACCAGCCAGGGCTTGTCTAATTTTAGTATTGACTATGTTGAAATCCCTTCTGGGCAGGACCCCTGAGAAGAGGGTATTTCCACTGAAGACACATGGGGAATTTTGCTCATTGGGCAAAGTAGAAGAAGTAACGCCTAAAGAAGCACCCAAAACAATGAGACATGTAGGGAAAACATCCAAGCAGGCAGAGAAGTTGCAAGGGGTTGTGCTTATACTTACGGTGATCATATTTTCCTAATCAGACACCAGGGCAGATGGCCTGACGCATGGTCTGAAACAGGATAGATTATTATTTTTAAATCTGGGATGTATGATCACCATCTTCACAGTGAATGAAGCCAACAGCTGTTGGGTGAAAGTCATTAACAATGAGTCTCTGTACATTGAGAGATCCAGGGGAGTGGGTGGGAAGCCTCCTGATGTCATCCATGTATGAGCCAGAGCTTCCTCACAAACACAAAGAAGGTTTATTAACGAGGGTTTCCTGGAACCACTTGCTGTCACTGCCTTGCCTGCAAGGACAAAGGTGCAATCTACTGACAAAAAGAAAACACAAGCACAATGAAGCTTTGCTTCCAAACAACACAGTCTTGGAATGCAAATACAAGAAGCAGGAGCTTAATGTTATATGTCAATTACATCCCAATTTTTAAAAAAGCAAGAGCAAGTAAAGGACAGATCATCAGCTACCCTTTACTTTTTCATTTTTATATCTTCTTCTTAGTCAAATATACTATTTTTAAATTAAATCCTCATACTCTATCAATCTTGTGCATTCAGTTTAAAACTTGGGAATTGTTGCAAAGGAGGAGATTCAGAAATTCCAATTCCCCTACTTAATAAGAATGTTATGTCCAGCATAATGTAATAGGAGAAAAGTTTCCTTTTGTTGCCAACACTCAAAGTCAACTCTTAGTTATGTACTTTGAGAATGAGCCTTAGAAAATATTTTAACTCCAGTTCCTATCACCAACATAGAAGTCTGTAGACCTCCATTTCCATTTTTAAGTTGTTATATGCCTTTTCAACTTATAGCTTATCAAAAGCTGATATTTTTTGCCCTGGCCTGTGTGGCTTAGTGGGTTGAGCATTGTCCTGTGCACTGCAGGGTTGCCTGTTTGAATCCCAGTCAGGGCACATGTCCAGTTGCAGGCTCAATCCTACTAGGGGGCTGTGCAGGAGACAGCTAATCGATGTTTCTCTCTCACATCGGTGTTCCTCTCTCTCTTTCTCTCTCCCTCTCCTTTCCTCTTTCTCTAAAATCGATAGAAACATATATTTTTAAAAAGCTGATGTTTTTTTAAAATATGCCATCATAATGTTAATTTTGATGATTCAAATATGTTGTGCTATCTGTATCACCATTTTAGCTCTGTCAGAGTGGATAAGAAAGACAGGCTTTATGAAAATTAAAAGTCAAGGTCTTTTCTCTATATCAGGGCTTTAAATAGTAAACAGAACATAAAAGAGATTTATTTGAATACTATAGGCCCAGTGCATGAAATTCGTGCACTGAGGGGTGGGGGTGTCCCTCAGCTCAGCCTGCACCCTCTCCAATCTGGGACCCCTTGGGGGATGTCTGACTGCCAGAAGTCGGACATCCCTCTCACAATCCGGGACTGCTGGCTCCCAACCACTCGCCTGCCTGCCTGCCTGCCTGACTGCCCCTAACCGCTTCTGCCTGCCAGCCCAATCACCCCCTAACCACTCCCCTGCCAGCCTGATCGAAGCCTAACTGCTCCCCTGCTGGCACGATTGTCCCCAACTGCCCTCCCAAGCTGGCCTGGTCACCCCTAACTGCCCTCTCCTGCTGGCCTGGTCACTCCTAACTGCCCTCCCCTGCTGGCCCAATCGCCCCCAACTGCCCTCCCCTGCCAGCCCAATCGCCCCAAATGCCCTCCCCCTCCCCTGCCAGCCCAGTCGCCCCAACTGCCCTCTTCTGCTGGCCTGGTCCCCCTCAACTGCCCTCCCCTGCCGGCCCAGTCGCCCCAACTGCCCTCTCCTGCTGGCCTGGTCCCCCTCAACTGCCCTCCCCTGTCGGCCATCTTGTGCCCACATGGGGTGGCCATCTTTGTGCGAGGGTGTGACAGTCAATTTGCATATTACTGCTTTATTATATAGGATATCTGATATTTCAGTTAGGTTGTTTATAGCTTCAAATGATCAACTAAAAGTGGATTCCATTTATAATCTCACGTAATAAGTCTGGAGGTGTGGCATCTGCAGGTTTGGCTATTTCAATGGCTCAGTGACTTACTGAGGACCTGGACTCCTCCCACATTTCCAGCCCATTGTCCTGGGCACAACGTGTTAATCCTTAAGCTTGACCCCATGGTCAGAAGACAGCCACTGCAGTGCCAAATAACCTCATACATCATCTAAAGGCAAAAAGCTAAGAACATCCTCACTGAGAAGGAAAGAGTTTCCCAGAAACCAGTCAGGCTTTGAAAAGTAAAGAGCTGGTCAGCGGGAGGTGGGCTAGCCAGTACATTAAAAGGGTGGGAGGGACAGCATCTGAATAGATAACCAACAATACTGCCATAAGTGTGAATGAGAAAAATTCTGTTTACATATGCTGAAGGTTTATGGAACCTTGTGATTATTTTCTGAGGAAATTATGTCTCTGAAACAATCTTACAATCAAGTAACCATTTTCTAATCAGTTAAAACAGTACAAAGGAGTGGATATAAGTGAGTGTGTTTGGGAAGAGGGGTTGTAGCTTGATGGTTGGGTTGAGGGGTGATCAAAAATGAAGAAGAAAATCTTTCAGCAATGATAATTAGTGCCTGCTAACATCATATGCCTATCTACAGAATTGAACAATGCCACCAGTGAAGTGTTCTTGTCAAAAATCAAACCAAATCAGATTAAACCTCTAGATCTAATGCTCAGCTAACAGGAAGTACAGGGAACAGAGAGGATCTTGTTCAACATCACCACAAGGAAGTAATTAGCAAAACTCAGAAATGGCAGAGGAAGTTTACCCTGACTGGATATTTGATGATACAAAGGAATGTTTGTCAAAAATTGAGGAGTATTATGGTTATGTTTTGTTTTGTTTTTGAGAGTACACCTCTTAATTTTGCTAGAGGTGCCGAATCCAAATGTGTGCTTATATGTTTTTTTTAAGAGTCCATATGTTTTAGAGATACATGCTGAAATATTTATAGAAATGATGTGACATCTGAGATTTACTTCAAATGTCTTAAAATAATCTAGTGGGAGTAGGGGGGGTTCAAGGTGAGAGGGAATGACAGGATATGAAGACTTACAGTCATTTATTCACTTTCAGTGAAGGCTCTGTTTATTTTGAGAAGGTATAAACCTGGTGTACTTAGGACCAAGAAATGTAATTGTCAGACTTTGCCTGCTTGTTCTAAATGACAGAAAAACACAAAATCAAACCTCTCAACAGCAGTAAGCCAGTTCTCCACTGTGACTTCATTATTTCAAACCTCCAAGAAAACAAATGCAGCACATACACACACCAGCACAGACAGACAGTATTCAGCTTTTCTTAAAAATATGGGCAATGAAGACACCCTCTAAGCTCCAGATTGTTTGCAAAAGATCTATGAGAATGGCCTGCAATTAGGTATCTACTAGTAAATGCATCTGATATATCTAGGTATTTTCCTGAATATACCTCAGCGTCTCCTAGACTTCTACTTGAGTCACTTGGAAACTAGCTCAAGAAACAAATTTGGTTCTCACTTTTATCAGGATGAAACCGTAACAAAGAGGTGGGGAAAATTGGATGGGAATTGCCCAGCAAAGACAATAAGAAACTGAAGGAAATCATATGGGTGTCCCCTGCTTTTCAAAAGTTCGTGTTATACCACTTTGCTTTTTACAAAAGACCTATATTAGTACCAGTTTTTGCTAACAGGAAGAAATCTGAAGAGGATTTTCACTTTTACAAGAAAAGGCAAAAATAGGGTTCAGCATTTGTTTTCAGCGAGCTGTTACAGAGGCGGCACTCACTCGGGGCAGGAGAGTGGCACCCGCAAGCTCCGTCCCAGGAAACCACATTCAGCATCTCTGCGTAGCTCTGAACTGTCTGTGAGCATCTCTGCTTGAGTCTCTAAACCTACTGGTCATCAGAATCACCTGAAGATTTTTTAAATAAATATTTTCATCTCCCCCATCCCTACTGAATCATATTCTTAGCCAGGGTAGGAGAAAGCAGGGGCTAGGATAGAAATGCAATCCCAATGGTCAGTCAGGTTTGTGCCTTACTGTTGAGAGCACGAAGGTACCTCCCAGTGCCTTCTAAGTTATACCACTCACCTGCTTGGAGCTATAAAGAAAAGGGCAGAAAAGGCTCTCCAGGTGCCAGCCTGCCTCCCACCTCCTTGGCAAAATGCATCACTTCTCTGTTCTCAGAGCCCTGTAATCTGGGCCATCCAAGTCAGATACTCACACTTCCACACAGTAGGTGATTCCTCCTGTAGAGAAAAAAGATGAAAATATACTTACTAGAACCCTAGAATCAAGTTTTACAAATAGCTAATTTCATTTACTAATGGCAATGTCCTTGTAAGTTTGCATCAGGTTTCCCTGTGGTTAGTAGCAGAGGGTGAGACACAGACAGGGAGACAGGATAGATTATTGACGTAGTCATTTGTGCCCTGTTCTTATGTCTATTGGGGACTTATTTGGCAGAAGGAAAGGGTGATTTTCTCCTTTTTTCCTCTCTAGAAGGAAACTTGGCTTATTCTAAGATGCAGGATGCTCTTATGCTCGGGTGTAAGAGGTTTAAGAACTTCTTTGTGTTTTAAAAGCTATTCTGCAAAAGCCTCGACCAGGACTTTGAGAGTTCTTGGCTCTTCCAGAAAAGATGCTGGAATTATCCCCAAAAGGGTGGAGATGGAAGACAATGTTTCACAGGGAAGACAAATATGTCTCTACCCTGGGATGATATGTTCCCCAGAGGCTGGAGGGAGGCGTGGACATTTCCTGCACCCAAGTGTATAGAGCAACTCAGTGTTTCCATTGCACCGCAGCTACGAAAGGGCAAAGAAGGTGCCACTGTCAAGCTAAGTTACACAGTTGTCCCATCTTACAATCTGACTCATGGGGAACCGCAGAAATAGAAGGAACTACCTACCACTCACTTCACAGCTACCGTGTACAGGAATGTTTATCCCTGAGTCCTGAGAGCCTCCACAGGGTGTCAGGCAGATGGCAGCCTGCCCGGGCAGGTTTTTCCTCTTCCCCATCCCCCACAGCTGGACCCGGATCACAAAAAGCTGTACTTGTGTACAGAGCCCTTGGGCATCACACTCTTAGCTATCTGCTCACAGATTCATGGCCTGCAAAGCTACTGGTTCTTTATCAAAACAAAAAACTAAAAGAAATCAGATATGAAAGAGCACAAACTGTATGTTCTGTTTATATGAAGTCCAAAACAGACTAAACTCACCTATGATGATAGAGGTTAGTGTAGCAGTTACCTTAGGCCAAGTATTGACCTGGGCAGAGGTATATGATGGCGGGCAGGGGGCCAAAAGGGACCCTTCTAGGGGCTAGAAACTTTCTATATCTTGACCTGGATGGCGATTACACAAGTGTAAACATATGTGAAAAATTCATTGAGCTGTACACTTAAGATATGTGTATTTTTCTGTTATGCAAATTTTACCTCCATAAAATAAATGCATAATAAAGCAAACAAGCCAACACAGATACTAAACCAAAACCTACGATGATTGCTAGCTCCAGCTTGCCTATTACTGGGGCAACTTAGTCCCCTTTTGCTGACTCAATCTCTTCCCAATTCCTAAAATTAATCTGTCTCCTTACCTCAAAACTGCACAGAAAATTTTAAAAGCCAGAGAAGAGCAGTCAGTTGCATAGCCCTTACCCACAGGTTAATCTGTAGCATTGCATGTGTGCAGAGATAACAGAGCCACGGCCCAGGTTCAAATCCCCGCTCTGCCACTTAATGATCACAGCCTTAAGCAGCTTACTTAAATTTTCTCTTCCTCAGTTTCCTGATCTGTGTAATAGACTTAATAATCAGGATTAAACAAGATTAATCCATGTAAATGCACTCAATAAATATCCAATGTTATGGTATGTCAAGCCTATGGCAAGCATTTTACCAGTATTATCTTGTTTAATCCTTGCAGTAACCCTATCTGATAGATGGTGTTATCCCCATGTGACAAGTGAAGAAACTGAAGCTCAAAGTTACATAGTTGGCAAGGGGCAAAAATAAAGGTTTGAACTCAGTTTTGTTTTTTCTTTTCCTGTTCAGGGCTTCCCTGATGTCCACTGGATCCTCCCAATCAGGTGTTCCATCAGCTTCCTCCCGGATGGCCCTAGAGTTAACCCACCATTAACTTGCATTTCTCCCACTGCCTGCTCTGAGACTGGCCCACATGGCCCACACTTCAGGGAACTTTTGAATTCTGTCTGAGTCCCAGGTACAGAACACACAGTCTAAATAATAGAACCATGTCCCCTTCCACCCAGATTTTCTTATACTGACAGGAGGAAAGTGTTGTTCTTAAAGAAGAAATCCACACAGCACTAGTAAACTGGAAAGGACACTACAGTCAGAAAATTTTGAAATATCTGGAAGATAGAGTTAAATGAAACCAACATTGACAAGAGTAAAGAAAAATCACATCCCAAAACTGGCTACAGAAAATGAACCAAATAAATGATTAAAATAATCTATAATAATAAAAGGGTAATATGCTAATTAGACCGGACATCCTTCCTGACAAAGCCAGGGCCAGAGGGAAGCCAGCCCAGGTCCCGGGTGCCTGCAGGCAGCCCAAGGAGGAAAGCCCAGGTTCCAGGAAACCAGTGCCAACAGCCGGGGGAAGGAAGGCATACTCTTGCACGAATTTTTTGTGCATTGGGGCCTCTAGTGAGAACCTAAGAGCAAATCCAGAGAGATTCCAAATTCAGATAGACATTTGCAGCAATACAGAAGAAGCCTCTGAATCAACCATCCGGGTAATTTATTAAAGAACTGTATGCAGAACATGGGGCCCATTAAGCTTCTCCTGCCCCTAAACTGGCAGAATGAAAACATCAGTAGCGTTTGGCATGGGGAGGGGAGAGGGTTGGAGATGGGGGTGGGAGTGCACAGGAGGAATTGTTAGGAAATGAGAAGGTAGCTCTGAAAGAAGAAAATGTACAGTCGGCCACCAGAGTGAAACCTTCCTTGCTTTAACACCATGGCAGGAAAATACTGTAAATGTGTGGTGTACTGGTTTTCAGTTGCTGCCATAACAAATTTCTACAAACTTAGTGGCTTTAAACAACACAACTCTGACGCTTCTTGCATAGTCACGTCTCTCCCTCATCACAGCTGAGAAAACTTCTCTATTTTTAAGGAATCCTGTAGTGGGGCCCACTGGATAATCCAGGATACTCACCCTTTCTCAAACTGTTTAACTTAATGACATTTGCGAAGTCCCTTTGCCATGTGAGGAAACATGTTTACATGTTCCAGGGATTAGGCCATGGGTATCCTTGGGGCTATTTTTTCTGCCTACCGCATGTGGGTGCCTGGCAGATAACCCTGATTCCTGATTTGGCAATTGGAGTGCTTGCTGGCTGTCCCACCCAGGACCTGAATGTGGAGTGACACCCATAAAGACCAACCAATAACCTAACCAAACTATTTTTGAAGAGTTTTCTTGGCAGTGGCCCCTTGGTTCCTGCTGATTTTCCAAGCCTGGTTTTCAGCTTTCTGATCAATTCTGTGAGCTACCCAATAGCCTGCGATAAACTATTTTTCTGCATTAATTAGCCAGACCCAGTTTCTGTCACTTATAATCAAGAATTCCGACTGATATAGTGTCCTACCTACCTGTGTACTCATCTTTAAGTAAATGCTTCCTGGGAATATTCCCCACCCACGTACAGAGAACTTAGAACCTGTATTTAGAGGAGAGGTCTGTCAGATAGCACACCCACACAAAAGCAGATAAAACCCATGCTACTGACCTACAATAATCAACCTAGTTCTTCACTTATACAAGTAAAAAATAACTTGGATCACTAGACATAAAAGCAAACAAAACAAAAAAAAAACCAGCATGAGAATCAAATAAACAAAAAGGAACAAATAGACTTTACCTGGAAGAATAAAAGATCAGAATAAAATGTTGATCTTAGACAAAAAAAGAGTCAATTTAGTATATTTGTGGATGATTAAGAATATTTTGCCTACATAAAACAAGAACATTTAGAGAGTAAGAGTTATCCTATATAATAAAAGGCTAATGTGTAAATTGTCCCCTCGACCAGGAGTCCAACCGGGAGTTCAACCAGGGGGTGGGGCCAGCCCACTAACCTCCCCCAGCTGGCCTGGCCTGATGGGCCCCGATCGGGGCTGGCTGGCCAGATCCCACCCGTGCATAAATTTGTGCACCAAGCCTCTAGTTGGAAAATAAAAATCCAGTAAGAAGACTTTATTCATACTGCATCTCAGCATTTAAAATAATACTAGGAACTAACTAAACATTTGTTGAATGAATGAATGAGCAATGGAACCTGTACAACTGAAAGTCAAATTAGTAATCTGAAAATAAAGAGAAATCTCCCAAAATTTGAAATAAAAAGGACAAAGTAAATGTAAAATACCAGAAAGAACTTAAATATGAAAAACTAACCAAGATGATCTGAAATCCATATAATAGAAGCTCCAACAAGAAAGTAAGAAAATAATAAAAGAAGAAATCATCAAGGAAAATAATGAAAAAAATTTCCCTGAGATGAAGAAACCACAACTTATAGATTGAAAGGGCCCACTGAAAAATCCTGATGAATCTTAAGAAACCTACAGATACAGAACATGATTCTGAAAAATTCCACATGAATTAAATCTACAAAGGAACAAGAAGCAGATTAGCATCAGACTTCTCATCAGCAACGCTGGGTGCCAGACACCAGAGCAATATCTTCAAAATTCTGAAGGGAAATGATTTTAAACCTAGAACTCTATATACTAAGGCAAACTTATGTTAAAGTGTGAGAGCAAATTGGAAATATTTTTTAACACACAGTGCCTCAGAAGTTTTGCCACAAACATACTATCTCTAAAATAATTACCTTCTCCTTCTTTCATCCTGTCCGCCATCTCCCTTCCCCTCTGACAGCTGTCAGTTTGTTCCATGTAAACATGCCTCTCTTTCTATATTGTTCGTTAGTTTATTTTGTTCATTAGATTCCACATATAAATGAGATCCTATGGTATTTGTCTTTCTCTGACTAGCTTATTTTACCTAGCGTAATAATCTTTAGGTCCATCTATGCTGTTGCAAAAGATAAGATTTCCTTCTTTTTTTACAGCTGCATAGTATTCCACTATGTAAATGTACCACAGCTTTTTAAAAATACATTTTTATTGATTTCAGAGAGGAAGAGATAGAAACATCAATGATGAGAGATGCACACCCGCTACTGGGCATCAAGCCCACAG